GAGCGCGCGAGAGGCACACAAAACGCAGCAAACTAGAGCATGGGTTAGGCATACACATGTGGTTATATGTAGAAGTTACTGTGAATGGTGAGACCTCTTTACCCTTAATATGAAGACATCTGTGTGTGGTGGCCACACAGCAGTCATCTCGTGCAAGCTCCACTGGGAGAATGCAGACTTCCAAATGGAGAACCGATTACCTTTCTGGACTATGATTTCCTCCAAGCTGTAGAGCAAAGAAGATCGAATGTTGGGTCAGGCTTCGAAAGCATCATAGCCCTGAAGAAAACAGAAAGAAAAGTGTGACAATGGAGCTCTCCTCTCCTCATTTCCCTTGTCAAAGAAAGAGGATAAGGCGTGTAAACTTCGTCCATAGTCTGAAGTAGCGCTGCTTTTAATTCCTGGTACAAGATTCAAAAGGTGAGCACGAAGTTACTAGCATCTCAAGAAAAAGAGGAAAAGTTTGGGTGCTTTCAAGTCTTTGCCAGGTTAGACAACAGAAATATCTTGACGTTTTTTCTTCTGCATCAAAAACTCTTTAGTGTTGTCTTTTCAGCAGCGACACACCAATCGCGGAGTCAGGTATGCTTCACACACATAATAGTAACAACTGGATTTAATTAAAACTGTTCATTTTGAGCTACAATTGATTGCGAACATTTCAGCAGAGTCGAAGGAATCCAAGGAATCTCGCGAGAAAAAGGAGGCGGCAAAGCCAGCAGGTAGGATTTCATTGAACAACTCGCCACTATTCTCGCCTAGAGAAGTGGTGATTTTTATGGAGCGAAATGAGGCACGCGGTTCGATCAAATGCACAGACCGGTCCGCAGGCACAAACTATGCAAAAACTGAGTAGCCGCTTGGTTTCTTCTGTCAATGAAGAACGATGTCCAACGTATCAAGCCATAATGCACACTATGCCCAATTCGCTAAAATTCGCTATGTGTGGTGTGTGTGTCACGAAACTCATAGCGCGCGTCGCAGCAGTCGTTCAGTGGTTGATTCTTTGATGTGATATAGGAGGTGGGACGGGAACATATTTGGCGGGGTGATAGAAACTGATAACGACTGATAAAGGCTAATAGGTGTCGTAGAAGGGAAGGGTCACGGGACTGTATGCGTATCAGCAGCAGTGAGGCGTTTTTTCCATTATGTGGTGCAGGGCATGGGATGGGGTCATGTTTGGCGGGTGACAGAAACTGATAGCAACAGATAAGGGCTAATAAGAATCGTTAGAAGTGATTGGCTGCTAAATTCATAGCGCGCGGCTTCAGCAGCAAAGATTAGCTAACTTTTGAATGGTCATATTTGGGGGTGACGAAAAGTGACACCAGCGTTAAGGGTTGACAGGAGCAGGTAGCTTGCGAACGGAAGTCTCTGAAATTGTTACCTAGATGTGCAATGAAAAATGCTCTCCATTTCGGCTTGCGATGTCTTCGTCAGCATCGGGATTCATTCGACCACTAATTTGCCCGGGCTTCTTGGGATGGTCGTTGTTTGTGAAATACATAAGCATCAGTGTTTCTATATTCATTTCACCGGCACAAAAATTGTTTCACCGCTAAATAATCCCACCATCCAAAGCCTGATAGTCGCAAAGTCCTGATAGTGAGCAGCCCGGATAAGTTATTCAAACTTATTCGTTGCACCATGTTGGTCTCCGAAAAATGATGGATGCTGGGTATTGGCGAGCTGCGGAAAATGGCTGCCTTATCGCCAGCACTATAATGAATTTTCGTTATAACAACAATCAGATCCAATGAAAGCATGCATGCCGCCTAATACAAAAACCAGGCTATGCTCAGTTCTACTGAAGCCTACTTTGCCGCGCGGTAACGTGTAGAGCCGAACCGGCAAAATCCAATCCAATCCTGCACTTAACAATTGTAATGAAAAAAGTTGTGATTTACTGAAGGTATAGGCTGGTGTGAGTGACGGACCATGTATTGGAGAAAAGGAAAAAGGATGGCTCACCAGGAACTATGGAAGGGAAACTTTTTCTTAGCATGATGAATTAGTAAAACATTGCAGCGAAGTTCCGAGCGGCAGATGACAACGAAACAGTAAACGAGGTGGTCAGCAATTGGGGTGCTGCCCAGGCGATGTTACAGAAGTAAGGTTTTGGAGTCAAGGACATTTATTGATTGACAGTCAGCTCAATGAGACATCTTCTTCAGGAAGGAAGGAGCAGGCACACCATTGGGAGGTGCACCAGCACCAGGTGAAGGAGAGGGCATCTCTTCAATTTGCTTGTATCAAAAAAATGTGCTTGTTGTTGAATTTTCCGGCAATCAAAACACAATAGTGAATTTTTTTAGCAAAGCCGCCACCACCACCGCCTCCGCCACCAAAGCCCAAGGGTCCTCCAAGTACTGTAATTTGGCGGTATTCTGTGAATTCTTCTGCTGTACCTTCAAATGCTGGTCCAAATCAAATTTAGAGGGCTTCCGAGCGGCCGATGACAATGAGACAGTAAACGAAGTTGTCAGCAACTGGGGAGCTGCTCAAGCTATGTTACAGAAGTGAGTTGTTGATGTTTGCTGTAGCCAGCAAACTATCTTGTAATGAAACTAACCAGCTTGTAATTCCCGAAATTCAAAGACCGAGAAGTTCTAGTTGGAAAATTCAAATTCTTTCGAGAATTCAAAAAGTTCAGAAGTTTTTGATACCGACGGGAGTTCAGCAACTCAGCACAGGCGAGGAATAATAAGAGTAGAAACACAGTATTATTCAGTTATATAATTCGATGATGGCACTGTGCTTTATCAATATTGAGCAGATTAGAACATCACTTGAAGACCTTAGATTCGAAACTCAAGCCTTTTGGGGTTGAACTGATTTTTCATTGCTCTGATGTGGATAGTAGTACGCTAAGCTCTCAAAAGTGAAGTCACCAGCCTTAGCGTAACCAACATGCGCCCGTTTTCGACCTCTTCCTTTGTTCAAAGAAGAGGCTGGAGCAAGTGTTGGAGACCATTCCACTGCTACGGAAAGAAATACTAAAAATACTGGCAATAAAGGACAAATCTGCATCAAGTGCATATAATGCTTCAGATCATGTAAACAGTATGTATGTCCACCATTCTCTGCGGTATTTCATAGCTCCGAAAACCTGTTATCATTTGGTGACAAACTCCACAGTTGCGCTACGTATTAGTGGTATACTGGCTATTGTTTTTTCGCACTGAGACCAAGCACCTTCAACTTAGTGACCACGGTTTGGGAGGGAAATGAAGTCCAACCGTCTGAAAATCGTGAGCACTGATAGAGGACGTGGAACCACTTGGTTGACCACTAACCAAGGAAGGCATTCAAATTCCCATGGAACTTTAGACCCACGTATACAATAGACCTTGCAAAGCGCTGATGACAAACATCTAAACAAAAACTGCAAAAATGAGCCTGAGAACCCTCAGTGGGAGATCTATGGTGGTGCAGCCCTATGAGTACATAGATAAATATGCCGTGTGATGAAGGCCAGGCAATCTTCTTTGACACTGACAGTCGTCAAATCAATAGTGAAAATACTTCCAATTGTTGATGCATCAAGGTCATGTATTTTCAGGAAGGAAGGAGTCGCGAATGTTCCACGTAAGTATGAACTCTGACGTGCATTAGATTGTCGTGTAATGGTTGTGTTTATTCTTTTTTTTTTTTTCTTGACGGTTTTTTCCACGTCATGAGCTCTCGTGCGCATGCCGTGTTTTGGAATCCCAACATACATTTTTTCAGCAAAGCCAGCACCACCACCACCACCACCGCCACCACCCAAACCGAAAGCTCTTCCAAGTATAACGATTTGAAGGCGTTCAGAGACTTTTTCGGCTATAGTTGCTAATCATCGTTTACTTTACATTTCAGAGGGGTTCCGAGCTGCAGATGATAACGAGACAGTGAATGAAGTTGTTAGCAACTGGGGAGCGGCCCAAGCTATGCTTCAAAAGTGAGTCATCACTCCGGTTTGGCAGTAGACACCTTTCCTAACTCTTGCATTTATTCATTTACAAAAGAGAAGCAGTCATTTCGGAGACCGTTTATTTTTGTGCTACTGTGAAAAAGCTAAAACTGCTAAAACACTGGCAATAAAGGGCGAAAATAATCAAATGCACATAATGATGACTCATGTGAACGGTACAATAAGTAAATAAATGTTCAAACTTTGGTATCAAAAACGAAACTTTAGAATGGAAAAACTACGCTTTGTTTCCCGGAATATGAGTGTAATAGGCAAAAGTTTGAAGGTTAATGTTTTCGTTTTAATCCATTCGTCAAATCACATCATTTTCAATAACTACCTTTATAAATATGTATTGACGCGCCAGTGCTAGTGGTTTATACAGTGGGAAGGATGGAGAGAACGTCGCTCTGTGGGATTAGCTCCGGCGTTGCTTTACGATATTCAATTGCAGCCATAAACTTAGAATGCAAGTTTAGAGAAAGCTGCACGGGTCATTCGGTAGAGACAAAGCCAACTCTTTCCTACCCTGATAATGTTAGAAAATTTTGTGATGGGCTCTACCACCGCGATGCACACGATGCTTCAAAATCTAAATTCGTGTGATCCGAACATACGCTTTACGGTGGAGTATCCAGATGAGTGTGGCTTCTCCCGTTCCTCAATACGAAGGTTCGGTTGACCATGGCACAAGGAGTTTGTGTGGTATAGAAAACCTATGTCCAAGAACATCATTCTGCACTCTCGTAGTGCTCATCCACTATACATGAAGGCAAACGTGATACGGAATCTTATCACGACGAAGACGAGGATTTGCACTCGAGAATCAGCAGAAGTGGAGCGAACTATTTCTAGAATACTGGAAGAGAACGGCTACACAACATGTGAACCATCATGGCGTCCTTTTTACTGTCGGAGGAATACCACTGGTACTACCGTACGTGAACGAGAGTATTGCTAAGAAAGTGAACCAAATCGTGAAATCAGCGAACCTTCCCGTAAAGCTAGTATTTCGCCCACCAAAGAACATCAAAAGCTTGCTGACATCATCGAGGCTTTACGAAGAAAAATGTGGTCGGAATCACTGCTCGTACTGCACGGAAACGAAGATCTGCCAGTTACGAGGGACCGTTTATTTGGTCACATGTGAAGCGTGTGGTCAGAAGTATGTGGGAGAAACGATGAGACCATTGTACAGAAGGATTGATGAACATATGCGAGCGTTGCGAAATCCTTCGTCTTACCCAAACAACGGTTTTGCACGACATCGCACGATTTACCATGGACAAGAACCGCCTCCTTCAATAAAAGGTCACTGTGCTACACCGCTCAAAAGAAGTCTCCTTGGAAAGAAAATTGTTAGAGGCACTCGCTATCAAGCGACTGTCTCCAGAAATAAACATCAGAGAGGAGGCCATGGAGGCTATGAGACTTCTGAGTTAACGGTGGATAAAAGCCAGTACTGTGAAATAGTCACGTACTGCTCATTCCCAGTGATTTTTATTTTATTAGCAACTGCACTAGAGTGAGGTGATCATCGTTTCGTTGTTGTCCTGGTACAATAGTCTGATAGGTCTTGAATTGTGCTTTGCAGAGTATCCCATTAGCGAGAGCATCGGCCTGGTCAGTTAATGTTTATTATGTTGATGTCTCCTAGGTTTGAAGTATTTGTAATATGCTTGATGTCTTGTAGGTCTGAAGAAGCTGTTATCACAGCGAAAGCTAACCAATAAATCTTACATCAAGAGTCCTCAAGAGATTTCAAAAACGAAGATATACAATTTATGAGGCTCAGGGATAGCTCCATAATATCTTACCTAGAAAATTTTGTAAAAAGCGCAATCGTCAAGGCTAAACTACTGAAAAGCTACAGCCTCCTGTATTCCGAACTGTATGATTTGAACAATCCTCAGCCTAGAGCTAGTGGATTTTTTTGCGTTAATCCATTCGAAAATTACATTTGAATAACTACATTTGATAGATATTAGCGAGAACATGTGAGTCCTAGCGAAGAAATCATAACAGTGGAAAAACCCAAAAACTACGCTTTGCTTCTTTTTTTCATTCTTATGGTTTCTTCGCTAAAGCTCACACGTTCTCGCTAATGTTTATCAAGGGTAGTTGTTGAAAATGATTTGATTTTCGAAGGGATTAATGCAAAAACCCACTAGCTCTACGGGAGATTTGCTCAAAGCATACAGTCCGGAATACAGAAGGCTGTATCTTTTCAGCAGTTTAGCCTCGACGAATGCGCTTGCAACCGAATTTTCTATTATCAGAGTCGAAAAAGTATAAAAGCATAACCGTTCACAAAAAAATTACAAAATAAG